TCAGTGCTCTCGCTTCTCTCCCTCTCAGTGCTCTCACTCCTCTCACCCTCACTCCTCTCACCCTCACTGCTCTCACTCCTCTCTCACCCTCACTGCTCACTCATCTCTCACCCTCACTGCTCTCACTCCTCTCCCGCTCAGTTCTCACTCCTCTCACCCTCACTGCTCTCTCCTCTCTCACCCTCACTGCTCTCTCACCCTCACTGCTCTCACTTCTCTCCCTCTCACTGCTCTCTCACCCTCACTGCTCTCACTTCTCTCCCTCTCACTGCTCACTCCTCTCACCCTCACTGCTCTCTCCCTCTCAGTGCTCTCACTCCTCTCTCACTTACTGCTCTCACATGTGTGAAGTGTGTATAATCCCATTAATAGATGATAATAGTTGTATAAACTTTTAAAAGGTGTGAAACACATCTGAAAGCATTTGGGACGATAAGCATTACAGATTAAGGCCTTCACTTTAACAGCCCCTGGCCTTTGGCTGTTGTACCACTGATGGTGGGGTCAGATTGGCTTGTTTTGTGCCATGACATCGCCGAACTGGCCCTCACTCATTATCCAAGATAAACAGACAGAACCGTAGAAAGTGCTCCTGTTTATTTGCGGTCAAAGCATTTCCTGTGGACACTGGCGCTGTTTAATTTTCTCTTTTCCCAGCCAGACTGAATTCCCACCGACAGAGGCAACTGTTTCCCACAGTGCTTGACACGGGGAATAAATGCCCCTGGGGAGCAAAACCCTATTTTAATCTGTGAATCATTAAGGGGTCTTGGCAGCTTCTCTCTAGAAGGTTATTTATTATCCGTCTTGCTTTAGCACAGACATTTCTTCTAGGAGCAACTGGAGCCATGTAAGGGAAATCCCTTCTGTTCAGCCAAACTAAACCATCTTTCATATCCAGTAACGTAGCCTCATCAGCCTCTGTCTCACCAGCAGCCCTGGGGCCTCTTTGAGATACGCGGAGGCTCCCTTCGAATTGACTGTCAGGAGACCCCAGTCACAGGACTACTGAAAGGGCCCCACCCTGCGTTTCAGATCTCACCTGCACTGTTTTCACATAGCTCTCATCGTCTCGTCACACGACCGGTCCTTCTCAGCTGCGGCACGCCAGTAGGTCAATTGCTCTGGTTACATTCCATTCTGGGCTTGTACCATCTGGCCCCCCTAAAGATCCCCATGAATCCATCTGGTGAAGCAGTCTTTCACTGCTCCCTCTGATCTGCTGGGCAGGAGGGCAACAGGTGTAGAATGGCTGTGTGACACAGGGGAGGCTGCACTTCAGTGGTGGATGAAGTGGGTCCCCTCCTGTATGTAAAGAATGTTATAATATCCTGGAATGGAACGTGCTATACACACAAAATAATTATTAGTAAATTGTGTATTTAAATATTCAAATTAATGGAGTATTTCCTGTAAATATCTGAAAAGACTCATTTGTACAGAATATCATTTGTGTTGTCCTATGATTTAATTTCTTGCTTCTTAGCTTCAGGAGGAAGAGAGATATCATGCCTAACCTCCGATATACTGAGTCTTCCTCATTGGACTGCCAATTCATCTCTTGGCTTGCTATTTCGTTACTATATTTGAGAATCTTTCATACAGATCTTATGGTCTCCCACCATATCCTTTGAGTGGGAGTTCAGTTAGCTAAACTGGACAGCTATCGCCCATCTTCATGTCCAGCAATTCAAACTGACTTCTAATTGGACTGAGCGGTGAACAGAATGCTTAGCAGCTATGAGCAACCCACTGGTATAATTAGTATCTCCAACGCATAATATTCTTTTAGAGGTCTTATAAATGCATTGCACGATTTTAACATATCTTCCTTTAAAGTATCCTAACATTTCATCTGCAGAGTGCTCCTCAGCATGTGAAACATAATATGGCCTAAATTTGGAGAGTAAATGGCTCCCTTCAGATCCAGGGAGGTGGTATCAACAAGGCAGACTGCCAGCACAGTGCCATTAGGAGAAGGCTCACATTGGATTTGGCTCATATTTCACAATCTGCAGAAGAGACAAAAAGGATGTTATTAATCAGAAAGGGGGAAAAAAACATTTTACAAGTATTTTCTCACTGTGACTTTACTGTGGCTTGTGAAATGTTACAAGTCTCTCTGGTGGCTCCAATCTGCTGTAAGCTATTTTTAAGCTCATTCACTGGGGTAAAACTGTTATGGTTCTGAGTCTTTATGTCTGAGCGCCTTTTTTCTTGGCAGCCATACAATATTATTAAAAGCAGGGAGAAGTGAAATGAGTGGCCGAGCTAAAGTCATTAGTACCTGACTGACTCCTGAAGAGCCTACTCAGCTTCCTTTTTCTGTAAGGAATTAACCACGACAATCTCTCTCTTCAGCAATTTAACACTGAAAATAAAGCTGTCTTCTCCGTAGCCGGCCCCTTAAATCTACTTTGAGGCTGTGACTTCCGGTGAAACGCAGGCACAGCTTTCTTCATTTCAACATTGCATCACTCGTTAAATGAATTGATAATGGTCTGAGCCACCCTCTGGTAAGAGAGAGAACGATTCAACCATCATCTACAGTCATAGATGATCGGTCATCTGCAGTTCTGTGAGATATCAGGTGAAAATGTTATTTAAAGGTCTCTTCCCTGTGTCTGCAGGATGTACATGTTTTACGGTCCGTACGTAACTTTTCAAAAGCCCTGAACCTAAATCTGAACTGCCATCTCAGGTACGCTTTCAACCGCAGGGAGCAGTGCAGGCTGCAGTCCAATTTAGCGTCCAACCTGCAGTGTTACACTAAAACTCCCTTTGACGAGGGGGATTGTAAAACTATTAAGAATCACTGCAGTGCTGCTACTGAAACAGGCTTATTACAGGCAAATCATGTATGGCAACAATAAACTTGACCTTCTATGTCAGGGTATTTTGTTTTCACGAACAGAATGAAAGAGTGCTCACTCTTCCTACAAATAGGAAGATCGTGGACATTTTTAACAATATGCAACTTGTTTTCGTGTATGCGTTTACGCAGCGCCGTGTTTCTTAAGAATAATTTACTTAACTTTAAAATATTCCGTTTTCCAAAGGCACAGGTGATCAAACCTTTGTAGGTAAAAAAGAATAATTTTGCAAAGCTAGGCGTTGCTCAGATTATTATTTTTATTGTAAACACGCAGACAAGACAGTGTTTGTCTTTATAAGAGAATGGAGGGAGTAAATATGTCATAAGAGTCTGGTTTCAATCAAATTAAGGCTCACTGAAATTCTTTCAGCAAAAAAAACGTCTGCAGACGATCGAGTGAGACTTTACGGCACACTGCCATCTAGTGCTCAAGATATATATTCATGCGAGACTTCTGAGGTGCTCAGTTGGTCCCATGGCTAAATCAGCCATAACCTCAGTTGCAGCATTACAATAGTTACGCTAAACAGCTGGGTTCCAGTCAAGATGGGGCCTGAGTGACTCATGAGGGGGTCATGTTGTGGAAAACCACGTTGTAACTTCTTGCCATTCCCCACGCAAAACGAGTCTCTCTATCTCTTCAAAGTGAAGGGAGACAGTTGTTTGGCTGCGCCGTACGATAACAGGAAGTCCAAGACACAGTCACAGGGGCCCAATCCAGATTGACAGCACAGCCGAGCTGTTCAGAGAAACTGCCCAATACGGGCAGCCTCCCAGGAGCACTCGGTTTGGTTTTATATGGGCATAAAGCCTAATGCGTCCACATCCATCTCCTCGTTTGTAGGAATTCTAATTACAGGAAAGTACGTCTTTTCTTTTGGGAACTCATTTACATCCCAACCAAGAACGAAACAGCGAAAAAACTCCCATCCCAAATGTGTCTTATACTTGACTGCAGATGTCACAGCAATTAGGAAACGACACAGTCAAGTCCTTATTCAACGGGATCAATATTTTCATGTACGTTTTTTCCGCTAAGGTATAGTGAGACACATTAAATTGTTTGCATTGAAGGGGAGCTGTTGACAACCCTTTCCGTTTCTAGAAAAAACCTTCAAACCTTCGCCGGCAAAAACACACTCCTAGAAAGAACCAGAAAAAACAGTCGAAACCTTGAACCAGATCATTAGAAAGGGACGCCTAATCCATCAATAACACAGAAAGAGAAAAACTCATTAACTACACTGTCGTTTCAGTGGGATATAAATGACCGAGGAAGAGCTCATAGGTGTTAAATCATAACCACCAAATCTGTTAGTTGTCCAGGAAGCGGACCGAGCTCAGGAGATACAGGTGTGGAGGAGAGAGAGAATCACCCATTCTTCTGAGGTCTTGTGTTTTACAGAAAGCTCCACTGCCCTTAAAGGCTTGCAAAGCATAATCTGGCCTAACTAGAAAGTAAACGGTTTGTATTTTAACACACATTTGTGTATTCATTTAAGCACCTACATTTTCACTGGGGCAGTCCAAGGAAAGTGCCTTGATCCAGAATGCTTCAGCAATGTTCAATATTTGAAATTAAATTAAAATTAATTAATTAAAATTAACAAAAACGGAGAAACCAATAATAAAAACTATAAAATTTATTTTTGCTACAATGTTTTGCAATCAGTTTTTTTTTTGTTATGTTTTTACACTTTGGTCATTCCAGGTTCCTGTAAATAAGGTATCAGAGCAGAGTTTTGAAAATCCTCCGGGAAGCAGAACGCAATACAGTAGATTGGATTTAAAATAATCTTCAGGTCACTCTATGTAGGTCGATAGCGTTGTCACCCACCTGGTATCATTTTAAAGGATTTAGCACGTCATCGAACGGGATTCTAAACTGGGCCCGCATGCGAAGTGCTGAAACTCACCTCTCCAGCTTAATTCATCTCCCGTTCATTTTGGGATTATTAAAATCCTTTTTTTAATTTTCCATCGGCGTTTTCTTCCCATTGTTACAAGGCTGAAACATCAAGCCCTCTATGGTTCTGGTTAGGGTCTCAAATCTGGTGGGAGTCCTTTGGGAAATAACCGATTAAAATCATGAGATATCGGAGATCCGCTGGCTAATACGGCTACACAAGCAAGAAATCGGAACTCCAGAGTGTTTCTTTCTCGGCACAACATGGTAAGAAAAACATTGCTTTTTTGAAGTTAAATGAGAATTGTTTTATTCAAGGTGTATCTATATACTGTATATAATTTCTTTAAAATAATTGACGTCATATTTGCTCAATTCTATCTCTCTTAATAAAGGCATGAAATATTCTGTAAGCATGAAGTACGTTTATCAGTCATAGTTAAGCTTCTTTTGTAATGTATTAGTTAACATGTGACATTTTAACTGAAATACCTGGGTTCAATGCTTAATTATTGAATGATGGTAAATTGTGAACTTTTGCCTTTGTTGGACGTAATTGTTTTCAATACGTAATTTCAAGAGCATGCACTACTTCCAAATGGGAAACAGAACGGTAAATGTTTATGCTCTCCGTCAGAATATCTATGCAACTTGCAGATCAAAAAGTATTATACTAGCATAAACTGTGCTGGAAATATGGCTTCTTCTTATTGCCATATTTAGATTAACCAGCGGTAGATTAATGCGTCTGGTTACAGTCTAATAATAATTTCCAGAAATGAATCCAGTTAGTTTCGGGCCATTTTTGGGGTTTGGGTAAAAGCAAATTGTCAGTGAAGAGATTAAGAGAATACTTCATTCTTTATTAAAAAGTTGTGCAAAACGTAATCAAAGGATCTCCACGTGCGTTTTGGTCATTCGATGTCTCCTATAAAACTGACACATTTAAGTAATATGCAAGAACCCTTAATTTAACTGTTACTAGCTGAAGGACTAGTTAGGTTACGCCCAGTGCAATTCGCTTAAACTTATGCAGGAGATCTAGTAAACAGGGAGAAACTGCAACTAAGAACAAGTTAAAAACTAAGTAGGTGGGGGAAATGCTTACAGTTTTGCACTTGATTGTCTTTAAAGACAATTGTCTTGCTCTATGGAATGGCTATTTTAAGATCATATCTGGAGATTAACTGCATAACTGCGCAGAGGGAAAGTGAAGAACCTTTGGACTTTTAAAGTGTATACCTCGTACCATAATTAAAGGTGATGGTTTAATGTAACATTCAAACTTTACTGCTGTGCAAGAACGGTTTTCTAACGGCGCTTCTCAACAATAAACCACAAGTCCTAAAATCTGCTAATTGTTCGGTTTTGACCCTTAGCTGATCAGGCTAGACCGCGGACCACGGTACTTTGGCTAAGAGACCCATCCTCCAGAGCAATACTCTTCAGATTCTTAATTAAACGGCTCGAGATCCTCTTCTCGTATTTCTCCGTCCTACGTTCTGCGTGCATTTCCTTTTTGCTGAGAATCTGGACAGCGGGTTAATGGAGTAATCTAAAAATAAAGATATCCCTCAGGTGAGGTGACATACGTTTACCAATACAAAAGCAAAGACGGATTCCTTTTCCATTTTACATTCTTACAGAGCACCACGTTCTTAGATCGCCCAATTCTTTTTCAAAGCTGCAACTGTTAAAGAATTGTTCTGGCGGGGTGGTACACACTTTTAGCGACCTGTGTATTGTACTTTTAACAACCGGTGTACTGAAGTAAATACGTTAAAAGTATTACTACGGCCTTTCCAGAATTCAAATAGCACCCTATAAAAAGTCAAGTTTGGAGAGTGTTTGGCATCTTAAAATATACTATATTATTATATATAAGGGTGTAAATATATAATAGATGTTCTTTACAAATGTATACAATAAGTACTGCCTCAGCTGGTATTATATAACACTGGAATAATGTCAAGGTAGCTGTCCAAGAAACAGTCACCCTCAAAGGTGACCACCACAGACAATAATGACCACTTGTGGTTGGGTCCAGCATGCCTAGCACACATGACGGCAGCACTTCCACCCTGAAGCCTGATGCTGTTGGATCCCTGGGCCTGGGCCTGGTCAGTAAGAGCTCTCACAGCAGCCGCCTGTTTGTGTTGGTGGACCAATAGGTGGCGCTCTTCCCCTGGTTCAGAATTTCCAAGAATAAGGGGACGTTGTGCTCTGGGAGGTGTTGGGATTTGGATGAGATGCCAGGGTCTTTAACTACTTTATTAAAAAGTAGTGGTGTCCTGTCAGAATTTAATTCTGATCTTGTACATTCTGGTCTCCCTAAAGTCCCTCTTTAATTCACACTAGTGAAGCAATTTCTCATCCCCCTGCTATGCAGAGGAGCTACTGGTGCAGAATGGCTGTGACACCCAGATGGAGCTGCACATCAGCAGAGGTTGAAGTGGCTTTCTATATATAAAGCTCTTTGGGATGAAAAAGTGCTTTATAAATGTATTTGGTTATTCTTCTTTTTGAATAATATATCTTTCCGAAGAATTGGAGACAGAAATTCAAGTAGACTCTTGAAAAAATGTTTCAAAGACACTTTTCAAATGTAAATCTGTTGCCTCCTTCCACTCAGGGTAACACGATTTGAATGTCGGCCCATTCCTGGACCAATCAAACTGTCAGATTTCCTTCTGTTAACCAGTTGCTTTAAGGCCGGTTACAGAGCACATCTCTGGAGCTGAGCTTTTTATTAAGTTAACTTGGTCTTTCGCTGCCAACTGAAGGATATGTGTAAAACCTGAAAGACTGAGATTGTAGAGGAATGGGGCAGGAGACCAGATGTGTCTCCTCCTTCAACAGACACATCTTGATGAATTCTTTACCTGTTAAACATTCCAGCATCTCCTGGCCCTTCTAAACAAAACAAGTCACTACTTACAACTCTTTAAGATCGGAATTATATTAAATACATTCCTAAAAAGGAAGACAATTGGCTTATCTTGCTCTTTCTGCACAAATCCTGTACTTGGTGCACCTTCATTTTCATCAGCATACAATTCTGCTTTTTTCTTGACTTCCTTGTAGTGTGAGAACAGTGTGTTGTCAGAGGGAGAAAATGGGAAAGACCAAATTCTCTCCATTGCATCACACATACTTCTGAAAAAAAAAACCCAACTGCATGCATGCATTTCAAAATGCAGCCAAAGAAGGATTTATTAGATCAGAACATTGCAAACGGCCTGGTTTATTGGTGGTAGTACTAAGACTGCTCACTTCCTGAATGGTTTCAGCATGGCAGGGCTCAAAACAGTGCTGTGCAGCCCCTGTGACAAGGGGGCTATACTTCTTAATAGAAGGCAGGCTTACCCTTCCAGTGACAGGGTGACACTAGAGCCATGCAAAGGAGCAAAAGAATCATGCAGTCAGGAGGCACAACAGGCACAAAAAACAAGTGGCTGAGCTAGAAAATAAAGCATGTGAAACTAAATATTGTGTGAACCTAGACACATTGAGCATCACATCGGCCTGGGTTAATTCACACAATATTGATGTGGAAGATTCTGAAAAGAGGGAGAGAATATCAAAACTTTGTTTTAAACCCATTCTTTCTGAAAAGGAAGCACAGCAATGTAGAACAGCGGTTAGGGCTCTGCACTCTCACCTGGAAGTGGCTGGTCCAAGACCAGGTGCTTTGCACCCCTCAGTGAGGTACATCACCCAAATTTCTCCAGTAAAATATCCATCTCTGTAAATGGGTGCTCATGGGAGTCACTCTGGGTTAAAAGCATTCACACAAACAAGTTAGAATACCCAGACACTTCTAAATGATGTTTTATCTCTATTTATGCGTGGGTGTATTGCTTCAATAAGTGCCAAGAATTCTTCACAGGCACTCATTCCCTGACAGGACATGTTATTGACTACTGCCAAGAATGGGCAGCTGAAATAAATGTTTGTTAAAATTCAGACACATCTCTGAAGTGTTCCTTTCCAGCTTGACCTTCTGCAGACGCTGCAGAGTCTCGTTTAATCATTTCATAGTTTAGCATGAACAGGGGAAAGTCAAGCAGACTGTAAACAGATATGTGACTGAGATATAGCTGAGTGCACAGAGAGGGATGTTGCTTTTAATGCAGTGTGTTTTATTCCAGTTTCTGTAGCAGTGTAGTAGACCGCAGTCTGGGTCGACTTTGGGCTTTGGAACGGGACATCCAAAATCATTTTTAATGATCAAGGAAGCAGATTCTCATACAATAATCTTGCTGCAAGTGTGATTGGTTAAAAACACAAACAGGGAGGGTTCGATGCTCAGTGTGGAATGTGCAGTACTTTTGTTTGGCTGAGATTCTGCTCTTAATGGTTTCTAACACACTGTCTCCTCTGCGTGGAAGTAGGAAGTTTGTGTTGCTTTTCTATTCTCTTGGTGTTTTGTTGGTTTGCAATGCTGCAATAGTGAGAGTCAGTTTCCCCAGCCAAACCTGTGTATATTGTACAACCGGATATTATGGGGTGATTTATTTATGCAGACGCAATAAAATTAATATACTTTCATCATGATGATAGGTATGCTATTAGTTTCTTGTATGCTGCTATACCCAGCTGCTTTGTGGTGTTGGAGCAGAAGTGAATTAACACATCCCAGCATCAGTCCTCCAAGTGAAATGTCCTTCATTGGTTGGCTTCTGATCATATAACACTACAGGTAGTGTACCATTCCTCCAGTTAACTTTATTACTATGACTGTGTTACTGCATCATTATCCCTATGTGGCTGTTCTTAATAGTTGTGACTTCGGACTAATTACTAAGAGAATACCATCTGCCCTTCCTGTGGGTTTTGAAGTTGTAAGGTTTAGGTCTCTTCCGGTCTAGGAGTCTACCCTTGATTGAGAACTCGGGATGTGCGCGAGACACACAGATGCTGAATCCTGGAGGAGCTCGGCAGCCTGGAATTGACATTGTTGCATTTGAATATTGAAAGAATACATTATTTTTCAGATTGTTGGTTCTGGAGAAACCAGATTTGGTTACCTCATTACCCATGAGAAGGAAAACATTTGGCTAGTTAAGTTGGTATTGACGTGGGTGTAGTACTTTCACTGCAATGTTTTGATTACAAGCGTTCTGTCCTGCTGTATCAGGGGTCAGATGTTCTGGCTTAGAGCTTATGTCGTTGTGTTGACCTCTGTAGCTGTGGCAGCTTCCCCATGTGCAACAAATATTAATCTTTAAGACATAGAGGCCAGCTTCATATTTAGAGAGATAGAGAGACTTGGAAAACCTTTCTGTAACCTCTGCATTGTTGCGAAACTTATCCTTGGACTAATCCCAGAAGGATTAAGAGTAAACAAGTAATGGGCTGTGGTTTAGAAATGAACTCGATACAGGATTTGGTGAGGATACAATAAATACATGATCCTGGGAAGACTTCTTACCAGCCTTAATGCTTAAGAAGGGATAATAGTTCAGTTTTATAGAACTGAACTATGTTCTTCTGTCCCCTTAATCACATCCTCAGCATCATTGCATTATCGTTACTATTATTAGTTGCAGCAAAAATATTGGTATTATTCTTAAAAGCAATGACATGCATTTTATTAAATGTTTAATTTTAAATATTATATTATGCTGTTTTCTAATTTTGGCCATTGTTTATTTACGTCACTTGCTGCCCTAATCCCTGTAATGCACAGTGAAGATGAAGACCTGTGTGCTGACATTCTGACACTCTCATTATTCAACATGCCAGATGCTCCACAGCTCCCTACTGGAGAGTGAATCCGGATTGGGGGAGCTTCACAGCTCTTGCTGAAAGGAGGAGGAACCTGGGAGGAACCTGAAGTCACTGGTTCAAGTCAAGCTGAGGAGTCCCTGGCAGCTTGATCAGTGATCAGGCCAAATGGCTTGGGAATATGACACAGCCTAGACTCAAGCCAGTGATGTCAGGAGTGTAGTACTCTTATACATACTAATTAAGCCAGTAGGTAGGTTCCTTTTCAGGCCAAAAAGGCCCATGGGGGAATGGGGGGCAAGGGCCACCATTTTTCTCAACCATCCAACACTGGAGGTGGAGGTAATGTGGTCATCATCACGCTCCGGCTGGCCTATTATACCAGGAGGGATTAACCTATGGAACTCATTTGGAAAGCAGGCTGAGTAGACCCGGGAGCCCTCTGGAAGGAATTGGAGCAAGCTACATCACTTACCCCTACCTGGGATTGAACCCGGGACCCTTGCCATCTGAGCTACCACAGCTCCACTTATTAAGCTAGCAGGGATCTCTAATTATTTGCAGATTCATTCCTCATCTAACATGCTCCGAGCTCCGCTGTGCCCAACAGGAGAGTTAATGCCAATTGGAGGAGTTCACCGACATCACAGCAGAGCCATGGCTGACTAATAAGAGCCCTACCCCAGTGGTGTGCTCCTGCTTTGGGAATCCTGGGTGCAAGTGGTTAGCGACTTAGGCCCGAACTCACAATGTCTGGATTTTCAGTGAGTGCTTTTAATAATCGTACCACTCAGGAGCTTTCAGGATCCCCACTGTTCATACAGCTTCCTATACAGTAGCTGATGCTGTAAAGTGCAAGTGTTACAGTAAGAAAGGTACAATGCATCAGAAAAATCACTTACTTTCTGTAAAGTTCTGTAGAATACATTGTGCAGTAGTTCACAGAGCAAGAATTTCCAGTAAATGGGATTTAACATGATTTCATAAAAGCTCATACTGAATAGCAGTAGACTATAGTTTGTAGATATGAGGCAGGAGATGATTATAGGATCTACAGTTGAATACCTCATTTATCTATTGAATGTTACACCTCAAGCAAACTTAACAAGGAATAGTTAGTTATCTTCTCCCAGCAGCTTAATTATAAAGACCAACTGGAATCAAAATTTCACCAAGATCCTTAACTTCAGTACAAGTCTGAATTGCGTTTCAATCAATGAACAGTTTTCACTTTTGCGAAACCAATTTGGTGAAGCAGCATCACCTCAGTCTTCTCAGAGTTTGACTGGAGACAATACTGTTGCATCCAGATCTTGGCGTTAACCGAACACGGTGGATCTGGCTGACCCCATGTAAGACACTGGGTGTCTCTGGTTTCCTTCCGCAGTCTACATACTGGTAGGTTAGTTGGCTTCTGGGAAAACTGGCCCTGGTGTACCCTGCCTTGTGCCTGTTGCTGACTCCCCTGTGACCCTGAACTGAAATAACTGGTTAGAAAATGGACGAATGGACTAATGAGTATTTCTTCACAATTTGAATAGGAAGGTTCAACATTTCGTACTCTGTGTGTAAACCTCATTTTTCTGTGAACTCTAATGCGTGGGCATCTCTGGGATGGTAATTTGGAGATGATTAACTGACTGGGTGCTTGGTTAATGGGTTTTTATTTCCTCTCAGTAACAGTGTGCAATAATGTGGCAAAAATGAAAATGCAACGATAAGCTACCAGGGGCCTGCTTAGGGACACTGAAATGTTAAATACTATCCCATTTTGAGAGCTGGTGATATTTAATTTGAATCAGATTTCAAATTATATTGGGGGGGATTCAGACTTAGAGGGATTCAGTCATAATCCTACAGATTCTGTTATAGATCACTGGCTCCTCAGTCAAGCATAGACACCAAATATTTGAAAATTGAGTTCCTCTCATACTGAGCAAGTCTACTATTGCAACAACTTAAATGCAGGACTTAAATGCTGCAGAGTATTTACAGATCCTCAAGAGATGGTTAGAGCTGGTTTTAATTCATTCTGAGTATGTCAGAGAGTATGTTCCAAGATTAGGCCTTTCCCTGAGCAGGCTAGAGAATCTTTGAAGTGCATGTGACCAGCTTGTGGTGTGGGATGCACCCCAGCAGTCTGACAGAGAGAAATGAGGGTCCACGGCCATGTCATGTTTCTGTGTTTCTGGCCGCTCTTGTCAGTAAACACCCTGATTTGATCTTGTCTGGGCATTTTCCAGGACGTAGGAGCTGCTGGGGAAACAACCTTTGAAGGGAAGTGAGTCACATGTGAAAAGGTCTGCAATGCTGCAGCAGCTTTGTCTGTTCCACAGTTTGCTGCAGAAATGGACAAGGAGAATACCAACAGCGACTGAGCCGAAGTACCCGAGATTTCCACCCCCCTCCTCGGACACGTTACTGTTCTGCATCCTGTTGGCTATTCTCTGCCTCCCGTGTAGGACTCAGGCAGCTGTCTATAAGGTTGGGGTGGTGGGACCTTGGTCATGCGATCCTGTCTTTGCGAAAGCTTTTCCAGGTGTGGCAGCTAAGTTAGCTGTGGATCGGATCAACAGGGACACCTCTTTAAACTTAGGGTACACTTTTGAGTATGTCATACTCAATGAAGACTGCCAAACATCCAAGGCCTTGACTGGATTTCTTGGGTACTATAGACTGGTCTCTGGCTTTATTGGGCCCACAAATCCTGGCTACTGTGATGCTGCTTCCCTCCTGGGCAAAAACTGGAACAAGGCCATCTTCTCATGGGCCTGTGTCAACTATGAGCTGGATGATTCACACAGTTACCCCACCTTCGCCAGGACCTTACCCTCCCCAACCAGAGTCCTCCTCAACTTCATGAAACACTTCCGGTGGGCTCATGTTGGCATTATATCTTCGGAAGAGGACATTTGGGTGGACACAGCCAGCAAGGTGGCCAACGCCCTACGAAACCATGGGCTTCCTGTGGGCATTGTCATCACCATGGGCCGCGACACGGCAAGTGTCCGAGAAACCCTGGCCCAAGTTAAGAAGGTGGACGACCTACGCAGTAAGTGACAAACGCTTTTTCGGTTTATATTTTACTCCCTTTTTTAAAAATATATATACCCCCCCAATTGAAAATAGCCAGTTCTCTGTTTTTGATGTCTGGATTTTAACCCTTCGGCCGCACACAGGGAAAAAAGAGGAAATGTGGGCAGGCTCCTCTCTCCCGGCCACCTTCCAGCCACTTGTATTTGATCATATACGGTAACTGGCAGCACAGCCCCGTATCCTCATTGTCAGAGCAATGAGCCTGCAAGCCTGCAAGGATGCTGCAGGGGTTGACGAGAGTGCTCTGGTCAACAAATCCCACTCTACCCTAAGTGGTTTGGGGTATCCTAGTCACAGTCGGCTAGTGACGTGACCCAGTCTTGAACCCCTGATCACAGAGCACGAATGTACTTGGGCAAGAGTATTTACCGGTTAACCCACTTGAGCAGCCCCTATTTGTCATCCATTTAGACTTAATCAGATTTTTAGTTTGGTTGCAAGGTAACATTACGGTAAAAGACATCAGCCTTGCATTTTTCTTGCACAGTTTTTCATGACCATTAAAATGCAAAACTGCCTCCCAAGTGGTTGAGCCCAATAGCCCGGCTGTTGGGGTCTGTGTTGATATCCAACAGAGATCTGGGGTTTTCACTCGACAGGCCTGACTGTGACATAATAGAGTGGGCATCAGTCAGGCTGTCGTTAATTCTGCTATGGGCATTGTGTGGTTGGCAATGTGACATGGAAGTGGCACTGTAGCCGTAAAGCCAGGAGGATTAACAGCTAGTGATTTCATATCAAGAAGGTATGATAGAAAAAACAGTTCCAATGCCAGTTTTTGACAAAAGCAGCATAAGCGTTTATATGCAGAGAAGTCTAAATTTCAACACTTTCAAACTTGGATTAATCACAGGACAAAAAGATTACCTATAGTACATAATCTTTAAGCAGAGTAGAGCTGTCATCAGTTTGTCAAAAGAAAGTACAATTACAAAACTATTTGAATTACTTTTGTCATCACGAGTATCCCTGATTTAACTGAGGTGATTGCATTAATCTAATGAATAATTCAAACATACAACTCCTGGGCGAGCCAGAGCTTGTACAATCATCGTAAGGGTTACAGTATCAGCCTGAACCAGTCTTTGTAGGAGCTGAGTCACTAAGAAAGAAGGGATCAAAGGTGCTTTTTTGTTTTAAACTGCAGGCCGTTTTCATAGGTGATACAAATAAAGAAACATAGTACCGAGCTGCCTCTGAAGGTGACAGGGAAGATGTGATGTAACAGAGATTTGGAGCGATTAGCTGGAGCACTTGATAAAGTAGTCCAGCTTACACAGGTAATACAACAGACAAGCACATTTGACAATGGGAGTTAGGGTATCGTGGCTTCCACACTATGCTTTCAAAAACCACACATTCACACAAGAAGGTGATTAAAACGATAGAATGTATCACGGCTTTGATTCTGGTCATTGTCACCAGCTTGCTTTTGAAGGTCCGTTTTATCAATCCCCAAAGACAAGGAACAAGTTGCCTTAGAGCCCGAAGGGGATGATCGTGTGGCTGATCGTCTTCACTGGGCCCCGCAGTCTGACAGTGAAGGCCGCAGCCATGTTCCCCGTGTGTCGTTTCTCTCCCTTGGCAGTGGTAATCATGTGTATGCACTCGGCGCTGATTGGAGGCAAGGCGCAGAAGCAGCTCCTCGAAGTGGCTCATGACATGCACATGACCGAGGGCTCCTTAGTGTTCGTGCCGTACGACACCCTGCTGTACAGCCTCCCCTACAGAGACGTGCTGTACCCTGCGCTGCGCAACAACAGCAAGCTGCGCAAGGCCTACGACGCGGTGCTCACGATCACCGTGGAGTCCGAGGAGGGCTCCTTCTACCAGGCCTATCAGGAGGCCATAGACAAAGGCGAGCTGCATCCTCAGCCTAAACCACAGCAGGTAGGCCTCAACATCGCCCTGTTGGGGCTGGGGTTTCGGTTTGCCCACTTCAGGTTCAAAGGGTAGAAAACCAGTCATCTAAAATATACTGTGTATCTGGAAACTCGCTATTTAAAGGGGACCTGTATCTCTATTTTTATATTTGGGGGTTAGAAAGAATTGGCATTAATGAGTGCATTTCACACCCCGATAACAGTAAAATGTACACAGTCCTCCAATTTACTTCACAAAATAGACAACTTTTCCAGGTATGTGCAGCACCATATTCTGCAATTCAGAATGAGGCATTAAAACATCTGGTGGCGTGATGCGGCCCTATTACATTGTAAACAAGCAGGCTCGTGAATACTTATCTTTTAATCCAACAGAAATATTGCTTTTGATTTTGAGATGGTTTTGCTGTCAAATACTACTAGTTAACTCTGGATGCAGATCACATTGGAACATTTCTGCAGTGAAATGTTTGCTGCACAGCCTGTACTTATTTGCTCGTACATTGCATTACATTAGTTGTTACAGTGACTAGTGAGCAGGAAGGGCTGCTTCATGTCGCAGTTGGTAGGATATGGAGATTTACGGTACTTTCTCAAAATTCATGATTTTGTGCTGAATTCTCAATTTGTAAAAAATTTCTATAATGTCTATGAATTTATTTTGTTACCAAGATTTAATAACTGGCCTGAGAAATTGGGACCACAGTTCTCGTTTAACAAGGGTCCCTTCACAACTAGGAGTCCAGTTTGTATCTTGTTAGGTAAACAAAGTGCAGTACAACCATAGTGTGGCACACTCTTCAGTAAATCTGTCAGGCATACAGGCCCTGCTCAGGAATTTCATTTTTTCTACGTCTAGCCAGTCAGAGAAGCTTTTTTGTAACTTTTCTACAGAGGGACCTGGTAGGAGAGACTTAAAGATTTTCCTCTGTTGTTTTTTAGAGTGGCATTGAGCAATGAAAATATCACTACAGCATTGCGTGATCCAAAAACTCAAAAGGTTCTACTAAATGTTTCAATATGGCTGGCATGAGCACTCAGCAAAGAATGGCTTGTTCTTTAATGTCTACCGTTTTCATTGTGGCATACTGTCCTTATTTTATATTCAAAATGGGTATCACCAAGTTTAGGGTTTTCTCTTCTGGCAGAAAGTTTCAGACACAGGGTGCCACTAATGTTTTTTTCCTATATTTTGTTACATATGGTACTTTCTGTAGCCTGGTGTATTCTGGGTGTTAAGGGAACAAATTTTGTCACAGTTTAAGTGACAACAAGTGGTGCTCACTGAGGAGTTTAGCTCAGTTTTCCTTGTTTGTGCCCTTTCCATCCTCTTGAACAGTTATTGCTAACAAGGATGTTTTTCCTCTTTTAGTCTCAAAATAGACCCAAAAGAATGAAAATGTTGAGGGGGAAGTGCTTTTTGAAACACTTTTCTAAAATGTTAATGTTCTGAAAAAAGTTCCATTAAGACAAAGCCTATTAAAAGAAACTAAAGGATTGATTATTTGACTCTTTTTGTCAAAACCATTTTTTAAAACTTTACTCCCTGGGAAATTCTGACAACTTAATTTGAAAAAAAAATCACTAAATTGTGGCCTCACTTGCGGCTAAGCCCATAAAGACGTTCATTCAAGCGAGATTCAGGCATCGCAGGTTCAGTAGGTTATGTCACTAGCTGACTGTGACTGGGATTCCTCGCATGGTTGCGTTCAATGGGCTGAGCACTATTGACGGTAGGGTGGGGCTTTGCCAGTTAGAGTTCTCTTGGTTGTCGGCTACAGAGCACCCCCTGTGGCCTCCTTGGTGCCTTTAGGGTCGCAGTAATGTCAGTGACGGATGCACCTCTGAGACATAAAAAACACACCTCTGGTAATTCCAACATAAAAAAATTGGCGATCTGAAAGATAAAAATATAACTAATATGTAAATCTGGCTAGTGACATTGTAGGTATATCAAATTTATTTTGGAAAATTGCTGTGTAGTTTCACATCGAAAAATAGTCGTTTTGCACTGGGGCAAGGAAACAGTGATATACAGTACGTTCCAATTTGTATGGTCAACAGGTGTCACCGCTCTTTGCCACAATATACAACGCCATCTTCTTCATGGCCCACGCCATGCAGCAGATCCGGGACGCCGGCGCCTGGCCGTCTGGTGGGAACCTGGCGCGCTACTCCCGTAACTTGGTCTTCCACGGCTTCAACCAGAGGATTCGCACCAACGGCACTGGGGCTGGCTTTGTCAACTACGTCATCCTGGACACCGACGGCAGGTCGCGGGACATCTACAGCACCCACCTGATCGACATGGAGACCAACATAGTGCGCTTCCTGGGGCAAAGCATCCACTTCCCACAGGGGGTGTCCCCCAAGACTGACTCGGGGTGCTGGTTTGCCCATGGGAAGATCTGCACTGGAGGTATGGCAACATCATGCTTTGGTACTTGTGTTTTCGCAGCAGCAGGTGTCAGTTTGTCAGTAGGGCTGTTTCTTGAATGGTAGCGTAGCAAAGCCACCAGGCTTCAGATATCATATACGTGGTGTCTGTGTTAAATTATAATAGGTATTCAAAGCTTGGGAACATGAATCCATCATAAAGCTGTGAGAGAAAAATGACAATGCATTTGCACCTGGGTCAGAATTTTTCTTTTTACCCAGAAAATATTATTTCCTTGAATCTCTGTTTAAAATTCTTCCACCTCCCCTGGAAAAAAACAACAACCTTGTGCATCATTTTCCATAGGCTAAACTGTGAAAAGCCAAATCCTCCATGTTCCCAAGGAAGGCTTTTCAAGGCGGAGTTGTGTTTCAAAGACCCAAGTGTCTGGGTCGCTGTGTGTTTTCAGTTACACTTTGTTGTGTGGCTTTCGCTGTCATTTTGCCTTTTTTTTTCTTGGCTTCAGGTGTTGATCCAGTCTTTGCTTTATTGGTATTCCTGTCTGTCTTCCTCACCATTCTGTGCATTGTGGGGCTTTCTTATTTGATAAGGTACAGCATACAGCACCGCATTTTTCAAGGTTTCAGCAGAGCTCCCGGTCTGCCACAGTTCTGTTTTCATGTGTGGATGATTTTAATCTGCATGACTGACTATAGAAATTGTTCCCATCAAGATGCTCCAGTGAAATTAGGGAGGTACCTCCATTGAAGCCACAAACTGTCTCAGAAACCAGCTTATCCTAGACGAGTCCATCTCAGTCCTACCTCCAGCAAAGGCTGGTCCCCATTTATACAGTGCATATCAGGGTGGACTGGAGCAACTGCATAAAGTACCTCACAGAAGGGACAACAACAGTGTCTGGAGCAGAGGGTACCAAGTGTTATTTTTTAAAATGTACCCTTTTCTAAAGCAGCCTCTTGCACCTTTTTTCATAAAAAAGGTTTCAATTCAGTTTTAATTAGCAGGTTTACAAGATATTCTAATAATTAGCTGAAAATATTTAAGCAATGAGGAAATAACTATTTCTTTAAGAAATGTTTGACAGAGCTCCCCTCACGGTTATAGGTGTTCTCCCTATTTTTTAATCAGTAGTTTTTTATCATTTGTGTTTTTATTAGTTTGGCGTTTAAATGATTTGCTGCAGTTTCAATAGTAATACTTTCAGATGAAGGAAGCATTAAACTGCTCTATCTGACTGAAATACGAGTTGATTTGATATGTAGCATTATCCTATCATTAGGAAAAATTACAGATTTACTGACCCCAGTGGAAAAAACGTCTTCATTTCTAGGTTCCTGTTTTGGTATTTATGATTTTTTTTAGTTGATAAAATAAGGAATATTAAAATAAAGAATCAGCGTCACTTGTTCCCTAAGGTATATCTTTGTACATGAAAAGCACACGATGGTTGAAACCTTGAAGTAATGGGCTGTTATGTGTTTTTCTGATTTTTTTTGTTTCCTTTCTCTTCCTATAATCTATTTGTTGTTAGCTGTTTGAGACTTTAATCGTTGTGTTTAACATTTTGAAGATTTGTTTTGATTGTGCCCTTTGTGTGTCACGGTGCAAAAGCTCGAGACACCTAAACAGTAAAAACAAAGAAAATGGAAAGAAAGCAAGTCCAGAAAGCAAAGTGTATTAGCAGATGCTATTTACCTGATCAAAGGTGCTGAAAGACCCTTTGGCATGTATGAATAGTCACCATTCCGATTCTTAACTGTCAGGTTTGCGGGACAATTGCAATAAATTGTCCACTTCGCTTCTCTATGGTCGATAGTAACACACAGGATATACCAGTCTGCAGCTTCTAAGTATTAGTCTTTATCCTTATGGTGGAGCTGGACTTCATGAGAAAAACACAACACCTTTACCTTAATAGTTATTATATCAACAGCTTGCAAAATGGTTCTCAGCTCCTAGACTCCCAAAGTGCTCTGCGTGTAGTTGCCTTGAGCACTAAGCTAAAGCAGGTTTCTGAAACACCCCTTCAGCAGGTCTAGCTGCCATTTCTCTCTTGCAGGCGGCGCATCAACCAAATTCGACTGGTACGGGGTCCCAACAAAATCCTGCTCACTCTGGATGACGTCACCTTCATCAACCCACAGCTCAGCACAAAGGCAAGTTTCTCAAGGTGATTGGTCTCATAGCCTGAAAAACTGAAAGCCGAGGGGCTACTGTAGCAGGCCTGGGTTTTCATTATGGTCCTCCCGCGTTCAGACATGTTGTAAAAGCTTGGTAAGCTGCACTGAATACATACATACTGTAACTCGATATGCAACATCTTGTAGGTGCATTTCAAACATTGTTGGCTAAACAACAAAAAACTTCAATTTCAGTAAAAAATCATCTTTGGGCTAAGGATCTGCACCTCTGGCTGGAAAGTTGCCGGTTCAAATCCAGAGGAATCCTACTCCGTTGGGCCCCTGAGCAAGGCCCTTAACCCCAACTGCTCCAGGGCCTCTGTATAAATGGCTGACCTTGTGCTCTGACGCCAAGCTTCTTGCTTATGCTGTCTCATGGAGAGCAAGTTGGGGTGTGCGAAAAGACAAATTCCTAATGCAAGAAATTGTATATGGCCAATAAAGTGATCTTAAAATAAAGATAGAATTAGAAGCTGTCACTTTATTTTTCAAAACATCCTGTTAGAAATTTTAATCAGACTACATAACTACAACACAAGCATCCTAGGAGTCCCAGTTCAGCTACTCCCTGCTTCTAGAGGACGAGAGACAAGAGTACTTTATTGTATTAAAATGAAGATTTCAGTCAGGTGTTTAGATTTCTATTCCGGCTAGACACTGTGGAGCAGCAATGGGAAATGGAAAAAGGATGTTAGGATAAGCACATGATTTAAATCAAGAACTGTTCTATCAAAAATGTGCAGTGCACTAGTAAGATCTCATTTAGAATACAGTAATCCCTTGCTGTACGAGCAACCACTGTATAGGTTTTCCTTTTGAAGAGATGTGGTCATTCCTACCTGTTTTTTTTATTTAACAACTAGCTAGGCTCAGGTAAAGCATTGTCGGTCACTGGGAGTCTTCTTTTCCTACATCGTCTCAAAAGAATGTACTTTTTGACACATTTGTATTATATTTTAACTTTTTATAATAAAGGCTTATGTGTGTTAAGTGCATAAAGTACAGTTCAGGATTGTACCTACTGTTCATGCAATTGCTAATGACTGTAACAATGTACTGTAACTACTTGTACTGTACCTTCAGAGCAGAAGGGTAATTGGTTTCCTAGCTATCGGTTATGCATTGGCTAATGATGTCAACCTTGTTATCTAAATAATTAGCCAGGAATGCTACCATTTCCATACCAAGGTACTTCTGTGCAGTATTAAGGTGAAGTCTGGCTCCCTGGAGGAACACTTTAAAGTACTGGAATCAATCAGACATTATAATAATTATTATAATCTCTGCTGTATGAGTTTTCACTTTACGAGAAGTTTTCAAGGTCTGAATTGATCTTATGCAATGAGGCATTGCTGTATTTTGTACAAAGCTGCTCATCATTTTATAAAAAATGGCTCTGGACCAAGAGAGAGCAACCAGGGCTGAAAAGAATACCCTACACTGACAGATGAAAATAATTAAATATTTCTTTACCCAGTCTTTACCCAAAGGGTTGTGGGAGATATGGAGCAAAGTGCCCTGCCTTGTTGTTGAAGAAAATAGCCCGGCTTCTTTCAAGGGACAACTTGAAGGGATTCTTGGATCATTTTGTTTCGGGCTACCAAACAGACTAGGTGAATGAGGTGAATGGTGACCTCTTATTTGTAGCCATTCTTAGGTTCCTGTCACCTGACAGTCTAATGACAGCAGTCCGTGTAGGAAATTATCCATATCTCAGTTCTAAGTTAAACCTAATTTTCTTGGCATTTCCATATATTTCTCCAGTCCACCTTATTCCTCACGTATATGCTCATTTCACAAGGACACGTGTCTTAAGTCATGAATCTCTTGTTTCAGAGGCTGAGTTCAGATGACAGCAAGGTCAGCGACGCTGGGAGGAGCTTCTCTGATGCTGACCGCAGTCTCAAGTCCCCTTACTCTGCTTCTAGCCTGACTCCTGCCACCCACGAGAACTCCAATGTGGCCATCTTTGAGGTGGGGACAGAACTGGAGGATCGCCAAGCATTGGTCGTCATTACAGAATTCTGAAATGTGATAAAAAAATATGTAGGAGTATTTCGTCATCTATGCATTGTGTTTTTTAGTTCACGCTGAAGCATGGATAGTCCAGTACTTACGATTTAGATTTCTCTCTAAGTTAGCCATGTGGAACTCTTGGAAGGCTGTTTGAAATGAAGGATGTGTCTTATAACCTGAAAATCTCTAGTTCAAATCCAGACTGTGCCACTAAAATGACAGTGGTTGAGAGATGGTTTGCAATTTGTTATCACCATTAAGGCACTGTGAGAACACACAAACTTCCATGCCATTAAGGAACTTTTGTCCTTCTAATATGTTAATTTCTTATTACAGAATTGATCCCTAGCTGTATTGTTTTTGCTTTGTAAGAAGTAGGTGGCTTGACATGTGGCACAAGGACATATGCTTACATATCACCTGAGTGATCATACAGCTGGGCAAGGTTGAATTAAGATAAGAAATTCCATACTGCAGAGTAGAAAAGAGATGAAGAAAAACTGTGATGATTAGCACAGACACAGAAATGGGACAGGTATGGTAATGAGGCTTTTATTATTTCTCAGGGAGACTGGGCCTGGATGAAGAAACTACCATCTGGAAACTTTGGCACCATTACACCAAAAACCAGCGATGTCTTTGAAATGGTCAGTAGATTTGTCCAGGTTGTCCACTCTACTGTGTGTGGAAGACAAAGGCTAGAAAAATGTGTATGCCTCTACTGCAATATTTCTTTATTTTATCCAAAATGTTTTAAGCTACCTGTCATAGATTTAAAATACATTACTGTTTGACCTGTTTGTGTTTGTGAATTCACTGTTTGTGAATTAGATTTTAATCGAGTGCCTCAAATTCCCACAGTTTTTAATCTGTATTAAATAGACATAGAAGATCACCTTTGAGTGTGTGACATGTGACCTGGGGAACTACACCACCTCACACGTCAGCTAGCAGATGAATCAGCCAGCATAGAGTGTATACACACCAGTGGGCACACATGGAAACTAAGAGAAAGTGTATCTAAGGAAGCACATATTTACACAAAAGCCTATGGGGGTCTTGAACAAACTACCTGTATAAGTTGTTGTACCTGGAAATCCTTCCAAACATTGGTTGGAAGAGTCTCAGTGTAATTATCTACCTCATCCACTCACATTAGAAGAGCCAGATGGCTTCCTCTTGTTTATAATCCTTATCTTTTTGTGTTATAAAGTCACTAATTCCAAAATTTATAAACATTGCCCTCCAAAAATAGCCACAGGCTGTCAGTAGCACTGAAGAACATGGGTTTCGAGCAGGTGCTTATACTTTAGTCCCAAGGGTTCCTACCATCGGCAATTCAGATAGTAGCTTTATCACTCCACAAAGGTCTGCTTTTAACTGACGCAACCTGTATGTTAAGCCGTCGTCAACTGTATATTGAGACCCCTTGCAATGTAGTCGTTCTGCAATTTTTGGCCAAAACATAGTCTCCCGCCATGCGCCCGTATTTGTCAACACGAGCAGTCTGAACTCGCACAATATTTCAGGATGCCGTTCCCTAACCTACAGTACAGTCGGTGTCCACCGTCAAGATCTTGTCAGACTGGACAGGGCGCAATGGGCTCGCCCCACATGAAGGCACTCTTGACCCCGCCCCGAGCCCATCCCTGTCCGTTTCCTTTTCCAGATGAAGGACCTGCGCCATGAGAACGTCAACCCTTTCCTGGGATTCTTCCACGACTGCGGAGTGTTTGCCATCGTGACGGAGTTCTGCTCCCGCGGCAGTATGGAGGACCTCCTGCGGAATGAAGACGTGAAGCTGGACTGGATGTTCAAGTCCTCCCTGCTGCTGGACCTCATCAAGGTGGGGAGAGGCCTGTCATCTGAGTGTAATTTGTGTAATATCTGGTACGGAGGAGTACTCAGTTATAACATTCTGTTACACACCCATACCTCTTTTTACAAACGGAATTCATGCCCAGAAGCTCTTTCGTATAGCAAAAATTTGTAAAAAGAAAAACTTATTTCCTTTATTTCTTATGGCCAAAAACCCCACAAATGTTAGCCCTACTTTTACCTTTTTCACCAAAAAACAACAAAGAAACAATAACTAAAATTCATCCTGTTGCAACTTGGGGCACGGTGGGAAATACACCTTGTGTGTTTCACTTTCAGTGTGCTTCAAAAAAGGCTATTTTCATTAAACTCAAGCCTTCACTGGACTGTGCTGTGACTCCTTGCATCCCTACAAGGTTAATGGGCTTCTGGTAGAATTGGCCCAGGTGTGGGTGTGTACATGTCTGTGTCTGTGTGTGTGCCCCAAAATGGACTGGTATCTCGTCCAGGATGTATCACACCTTGTGCACCATGCATGCTGGGATAGGCTCCAGCTCCCCTGCGACCCTGAATTGGAAGAAGCAGTTAGAAAATGGATAATAATAATAATAATAATAATTGCTTACACTTATATAGCGCTTTTCTGGACACTCCACTCAAAGCACTTTACAGGTAATGGGGACTCCCCTCCACCACCACCAATGTGCAGCATCCACCTGGATGATGCGACGGCAGCGCGCCAGAACACTCACCACATATCAGCTATCAGTGGGGAGGAGAGCAGAGTAATGTAGCCAATTCATAGAGGCCATGATTGGTAAGGGCCAATTGGAAATTTGGCCAGGACACCGGGGTTACACCCCTACTCTTTTCGAGAAGCGCCCTGGGATTTTTAATGACCACAGAGAGTCAGGACCTCGGTTTTACGTCTCATCTGAAGGACGGCGCCTGTTTACAGTATAGTGTCCCCGTCACTATACTGGGGCATTAGGACCCACAGAGACCACAGGGTGAGCACCCCCTGCTGGCCCCACTAACACCTCTTCCAGCAGCAACCTTAGTTTTTCCCAGGAGGTCTCCCATCCAGGTACTGACCAGGCTCACACCTGCTGAACTTCAGTGGGTTGCCAGTTGTGAGTTGCAGGGCAATATGGCTGCTGGATGTATTGTTATATTTAATTACTGTTGTTGTATTCCAGTATTCAAGATGGTTTGGGCAGCAAGACCACTCCCTTTCAGGGACAAGAGAAAGCAAAGCAATAAGCTATAAATACAACTGGACTGACTGGCCCTTGTTAAAACTAAGCGCAGGGAATCTGTGTGGCGTGTTTTCAGTTGCAGTTTTGCACGGCTTATACCCCTTATTTTCTTTGCTGTCCTGTGATCTGCCCACTGTTCTTTTTTTGTTGCTTTACTGTACCACAGTTAACTTTTATAAGGGTCACTCAGGTGACTGCAGTTCAGTGTAGCTATTGTTTTGTTTCTTGAAGAAAACTGAAAGCACCTTAAGTTATTCCTCATTGCTGATTTGCACTTTGCTGCAAGAAACCCTCATGTCTTCTTGCTCTGCCTCTGCCGACAGGGTATGAAGTATTTGCACCATCGGTCTGTATACCACGGCCGGCTGAAATCCCGAAACTGCGTGGTGGACGGGCGCTTTGTGCTGAAACTCACGGACTATGGGTACAACGAGGTGCTAGTGTCCCAGAATTTTCCATACGAAGAGCCACCAGCTGAAGGTGTGTATGAAGTCTTGGCCCAGGTGAAACCAATTCAAACCTTAACCCACCCTCGCAAGCTCGCTTTTCTTTAGACACTAGAATCCCTTTGGGAGGCAAATAATTTGTGCATTATGATCAGGTTGAAGTTTAATTTGGATGTGAAGTGAGCTTTATGTAGATTGTAATCTTGGATGCTCAGGGCGGCACCCTAGTCTACACACACTTCACTTTGAGATGGGAGGGCCGGACCAAATTAGTAAAGCACAGCAAACTGTAGTCCTGCAGGAATACATATGCAAGTCTGTGGCAATCCAGGCCCTTCTGCGTCATTAGAGCTGGGTACCTGCCCCTCTACATCTTGGGCAGTCAATCTGCACAGCTGTCGATCTTTAGTCTTAAGTCCTAATATTGGACTCTTCTATCTGTATCAAGATACCCTTGAACCTCAATTTGTTTTACAAGTATTGCTGTTTAAGGGAAAGAGGATTTTTACAATCTCTAACACCTACAAAAGATAGACTCTGACTCTGAAAAGAAATGACTCTGTCTTGCGTTGGTGATGGAATGTTGCTAGTACCTGCACAGCTATATCATATACAACCAGCCTTGTGTTGGACTTGGGGATTGAGAGTGCAGTGGCGTTCAGCCCTCTCCTCATTAGAATGTCTGTCAGATTATGTCTTTAATATGCAGCTCCCAAACTATATCCAGATCATTGTACTCCACTACATTTTTAGATTTAGCATTACATAGCCCTGCAATATTAAAGTGGACACTCTAATATAGTAGAATCTCTATAAATACTGTTGTTCCCTTGACTGTGCAGGTCACAGATCTTCAAGAGGCTGTAGGTGAGGCCCTGCCCGGCGTATGAGGCCAGGCTGATTTAGCATTACATGGCCCTGCAATATTAAAGTGGACACTCTAATATAGTAGAATCTCTATGAATACTGTTGTGCCCTTGACTGTGCAGGCCACAGATCTTCAAGAGGCTGTAGGTGAGGCCCTGCCAGGCGTATGAGGCCAGGCTGACAGGCCCTGATGTAGTTTCATACTGAATAATAGGCCACATGCATTTACCTGAGTTAAAGGTGCTCATTTGAACATGGCATGTTCTGCCTTACAATTTGTTGTGCTGAGGTTTACTGGGATCTTTCACAAAGCTCTTTGATGAAGCCAAGAGGTCTGTAACGTCCTACCAACCGAAGGAGAAAGGAGGTTTTGAGTTGAAATGAGCTCCCCTCATGTAACACGTCTGATGTTGCTGTGTGCCGCTGTTGTCTAGACAACAGGTTCAGCGTCATCAGACCGGCCCCTGTGTGATTTGTTGCAGATCTGCTGTGGACAGCACCGGAGATCCTGCGGCAGTCCCACCCAGGGCTGTATGGCTCCTTCAAGGGGGACGTGTACAGCTTCTCCATCATCATGCAGGAGGTTGTGGTGCGGGGCCCCCCCTTCTGCATGCTGGAGCAATCTGCCGAGGGTATGACACTCTTCCATGCTGTGCATTCGCTCTTCTGTCTTTTCGTTTCTATACCTGTCAATCTGACATGAATTCATAATGTAAGAAATTGTCAAATATACAGTATTAGCAAGTAGTATGGAAGCAGTGCACAGTGGGTGTATGTTCACCCCACTCTGCTTTTCTTCCAAGAAGACCCCCTTCGGCCGGACCGAATCATGAATAAGCTAACCCAAGACCCTACTGTACTACTGTAGCAACGTCATGATGTTGTTACACCGCATTTCCAGCGATTCTAGTATATGCCGTAAGACTCTGATTGCAGAGCAGGGTGAATCCATTTCAGGTGTTCCAAGCTGTAGGCTGTTAGTCTAGAAATGTTGATTTTATGTTGATTACGTTTTCCGTATATAAAATTAAAAAGCAATGAAATATGGTGCTTTTGTGCTTTCAGTGTGTAAAAGAGCCCCAAATAGATGACTTTACTCTGCAGTGGGGGTCTTATCTGTTTCCTGCTGTTCATGCTGAATCCTCCATGGGAAGTCTGTGCTTGCTGATGCCTCTGAGGCGCGTGTCTCTTCACAGAACTCATCCAGAAAATTAGGAAGCCGCCACCGATGTGCCGGCCCGTGGTGTCGCCCGACCATGCGCCCATGGAGTGTATCCAGCTGATGAAGCAGTGCTGGAATGAGCAGCCCGAGCGACGGCCCACCTTCGATGAGATCTTTGATCAGGTACGGCCCCCCAGTGCCCCCACATTGCGGTTGCTCATCAGGCCTTTAGAAGCTTTAAATGGTAGGTTAGTCTCTCTTTGATTAAGAGCACACTTCTGAGCAAGTGCCGTCTGCACTGTCCAGGCAAGCCCTAAAGTCGCTGCTCCAAGATCCTCACGCTGCGAGTTTGAATGCTGAAGAGAAGTGTGTCTCACTTCTTGTCCTGGTGAGCCACAGTTGTCATTGGTTGTCATGGTTGTCATTTCAACCCAGACTCTTAATGACTAAATGAAATCAGTTAGTGACTTAGCTGGTCTTACCTACAACCTTTTTCAATCACTTCAGGACAGGAAGTCCTTTAGGAAACCTGCAGAGCTGTGGTCCAGGAGAAGTGTGCTGTTCTAGACACGTCTAGGAGAGAGAGCTGGTATAGAGATGGCCAAAATAATGAAAACATCTAAATACTGGTCCAAGAGAGATATTTAGAATGCGTTGTCTTTTAAAGATCATCCACACTGGCTCTTCAAAAATAGTCTGTGAGTGTGCTGATTTTCACCCTTCTCTTCTGAGTTCTTCAGTTCTTAACTGGGGCATTTGCTTTCTAGAAAAGCAGAGACCACATCAGAAGTGACAGAAGTACAGCTGTCCAGAACCAGGGATCCAGGGTTGTCAGTCAGTCATCAGTTTTAGTCCTATTAATTATAGTTAAATACTCTATTGTTTACTGAATATAAAGTATAAGAGATGTAATTGAGAATTAAAAGTAAAGTAAGAATTAAAGGCCATTGCAAACATAAGTTTTAAGGTGAGTTTTAAAAACATCAACAGAAGATGCATTCTTAATGAGATCAGGAAGAGTATTCCAAAGATGAAGGGCTGCTGCTGAAAACGATCAGTCCCCTTACATATTTTTTGAAGTCCTTGAAACGTTGAGGAGCCTAGAACCAGCCAAATGATTTCAGCGACCTGGGATCTGTGTGGGGAAATTAACTCTTGAAGGTAGACAGGAGATAACGCATGCCGGACAAGTCAACAAGAGAACTTTAAAATCTATCCTGTTGTCCTGAACAGTAACAGACCAGATTCCACTCCAAGACTCTTCAAAAATGTCCAACAACTGTACCAGCAAATTCTTGTAATGAGCTACACACATAGATAAATCAGGAATTTTTGGTACTGCATTACTTTAGTCTTTCGCTTAACTACATTTTAGATAATAATCCAATCGGAAGGAGTTTCATCCAGCAGGATTTTTTGTTTGTTTGAATGTGCTTTTGACCCTGGGGTTCTACTTTTCCCAGTTTAAAAACATCAACAAGGGCAAGAAGACCAACATCATCGACTCGATGCTGCGGATGCTGGAGCAGTACTCCAGCAACCTGGAGGACCTGATTCGGGAGAGGACAGAAGAGCTGGAGATCGAAAAGCAGAAGACGGAGAAACTGCTCACGCAGATGTTGCCACCGTGAGTGTCGTTCTGCTCCCGCACTTTGCTGTGTACTACACAGACTGACCGAACCACAGGGGTTAAAGAGGAATGGCAATGCTATTTTTAGGCTTACAAATACATCTCTTTTAATCCAATACAAATATTGCTCTAAAATTCAGGACGGTTTGATGACAAATAGTATTTACTTGTTAACTCCGCTTGCAGATCCCATGGGAACACTTCTGTGGTGAAATGTCTACTGTACAGCCTGTACATTGCATTACATTAGTCATTACAGTGACTAGCGAGCAGGAAGGGCCACTTCACATCGCAATCTGTGGGAACTCTCGCTTTCACCCGTGGAGAGCAGTTTACAACAACAATGACAACTTACTGTACTTTCACAAAGTTCGTGATCTTGTCCTTAATTCGAAATGTGTAATTTTTTTCTATATCATCGTTGAATTTATTTTGTTACTGAGATTACATTTAGAGATGTAATAAACTGGGATTGCGGTTCGCCAGGTCATGTGGAGAGGAGTAAACATGTAGGAAACATATAGGCTGGATGCTGGGGAGTCAAGCCAATGTATTGCCTGAAATCAACTCATAACCTGACCAGAAACCAGTGCAGAGAGTCTAAGACAGGAGTGATGTGAACACAATTGTGTGTGACCCTGTTGGGATTCAAACCGCCAAACTCTGAACATACTGTAACTTGTTCAGCGCAGTTTTACAGGCTCCTACAGGTAGGACTACACAATAATCAAACCATGAAAAACTCATGAACTAATTGTTTTACTAGAGGCAGCATAGGATGGGAGCCTGGCAATACTTCTAAGAATGGAAAAGCTGTCTGCACAACATTCTGCACTTGCTGGTCATTCAGGGTTGAGAAATATCCTGAACTTCTTCATTTTGGGATGTAACTCAAGCACAGCACAATAAACGAATAAGGTTACAGCATTAGTTTTACATGGGAAGAACGCAATACTGTAACCTCAGTCATATCACCCTTAGGATGAAAATACAATCAGTATTAGGGTTTGAATACTTTGTATCACTCTATTAATACTTTGTGAATATACAGTATTCTCTTTAGAAAAGCTTTAGAAATTGTATCTGCCACCCCTGATCGGACGTCTTGCTGAACAGTTTTATTTTGGATCGGGAGCCCTGTTGTGTGAAAGCTCAAGTGTGGGGTTTCCTTTCTTCCTGCAGATCTGTGGCAGAAGCCCTGAAAATGGGGTGCACTGTGGAGCCTGAATATTTCGACGAAGTCACCTTGTACTTCAGTGACATTGTGGGCTTCACCACAATATCTGCCAACAGCGAGCCCATCGAGGTGGTTGACCTCCTCAATGACCTCTACACGCTGTTCGATGCTGTTTTAGGGAACCACGATGTCTATAAGGTAACTTTCTTGCCTTGCCTCTGGGTGAGCTGGCTGGATTTAACAGCAAGACAATAATTGTAGCATAAAAATGATCTTATTTTAGTCAACTTTTATCAGATTATCCAGAATCCAGTTTTTCTGGAATTTGCATTGCTTTTTAATATTTTGGTAACTCTATAGGCTCTGAAATTTATATTGCTGCTTTACTGAGGTCCCCTTAGTATTGTTTTGAAAAAACACAATAGATGCAGCAATTATATATTAACACTGAATAAATGTATGTTCAGTTATATTCATACCATTTTTGATACCACAGTTTAATTTTAGTGTCTCCTGAAAGCTCTGAACAGAGACTGTTGGAAAGCCTAGCATTAGAAACAAAGTGACGAGTTCAAGGCGTCACCGGAAGAGTACCTGGATCGCTGCCTTGGTCTGGGTCTCCTGAGCATGAAGGTCCCGAGTCCAACCCTGTAGTGAAACTGTGTCCTCTCTGGTGCAGGTGGAGACCATAGGGGATGCCTACATGGTAGCCTCTGGGCTGCCCAAGCGTAATGGAAAACGCCATGTGGCAGAAATTGCCAACATGTCCCTGGACATCCTCAGTGCCGTGGGCACCTTCAAGATGAGGCACATGCCCGACGTGCCCGTGAGGATCCGAATCGGCCTGCACTCGGGTAAGATCTTCGGAAGAGCACTGGCAGCGGGGCTCGTGGAGGGACACATGTTTTTGAAGTGTGTCTCATGCTTTCCTCACTTGTGGGATGACTAGCTGTTCATTTTCTCCCGCCAACACGCCCCTCTTTCCTGATCTGCACCTCCGTTTCCCCCTTCACCAGACAGAAAAGGAAGCAAAATGTGCTTGTTTCGTCTCAGTCTTATGCCGCAGTTACCTTTATTATGATGAATGTCTGGAATCTGGAAACACATTTTGGCTTTCAGCATACAGTTGTGAAAACCATTCTATGGAAAAAACCCAGTCTTCAGAAAGACCTGGCTCAAACTCTTGTGCAAAAGGACAATACACATTAGGTGTTGTGAGACAAACTGGAATTTCATTTTCGGCTGAGCTCTGTAGTGCCTGCGTACATGTCTTGCTCTTCCTTGCTCTCGAGAAGATTGGCCGGGATTCAGTGCGGGGCACTCCGGTGACTCTGTCCTTGCAATCCATCTCCTTTCTGTTGTTTTAGGCCCAGTGGTGGCAGGAGTGGTGGGCCTGACCATGCCAAGGTACTGTCTGTTTGGGGACACGGTGAACACGGCCTCACGCATGGAATCCACAGGACTGCGTGAGTACCCTGCACTTAGACAGTGACCTCGCGGGCGGGTGGGAGACTGCAAGAGGGCCACATGCACTAGGACCCGGGTGGACAATCCTGGTGCTGGAGGGGGCGCTGTGTCCTCAGGTTTTCAAGGAAAACTTGCGGATGCGCCGACTCTAAAGGACCAGAATTGCCCATCCCGGTACCAGAACCGAGAAACATCCACATTGATTTAAAGATACCCCTCTCTTACTGAGAGTACCTCCAGCTGCGCTGTGTGTACTTATGCACTTTTACAGTACCTTGACACCAATTCAGGGTCATTGTGAAACACCAAAAAACCCAGATGCTGTCTGTGTGTTAAGGTGCTGGTTGAACACATAGCCCATTTGGAGACTGTGATTTACTTTATCTAATTAAATGTTGAATATGCTGTTGTGGTAGGAAACTTCAATGTCTATTTAATCTGTTGGCCTTTAATTTCCCACTATTGGCTGATTCGGAGTCCAACCCAGGTCACTATTGAAGTGACCTTGGCTGGATCTGAAATTTGAATTTCATCTGTGGTCGGTCCTTCACCTCCAGCACAATGTTATTACACTGTTATTGTTATTGTGTTACTGTCTATTTTCTTGTCTTCTGTTCTATTTATACTGTATAGTGCACCTGACTAATGAGAAACACTTTTCATGATACTATGCACCCGTGTAAGTATAATGACAAATAAAGTTGAATTGAATTGAATTGGCATCCCAGCCTCTTCCTTTGCTGAAGTGGGTTGAGCTGGACAATTTAGAAACTGACAATGACACAGTGTAAATGAACATGGGCTGTGCAAGACTGACTGCCACAGATATGTAGGTTTCTTTTCCTTTCTCCTGTGGGTGTACAGTCCACTCATCTCACATGAGTTCGGCAATTTCAATCACAAAATGCAGCAGTTAAGGGTTTGCAAATAATTGCACACAACTGTTGAACAGCATTGGGTGGTATGGTTTGCATTTACGAAGCCTTTTCCTGTGTGTGTAGCATCACTCAAATGGCTCGGGGATATTAAATGTTATCTGTGGTATTGATTTTAGTGCAGACCTAATATGAAAGCTTCTTGCCTAATATGAAAGCTTCTTGCAAAAACAAATGATGTTGATACCCTTTGCAAAAGAGAATTGACATGAGGAAAAGTCTGTGTTCTGGAATTGGTGAAATACTCAGTTATTTTAGGGGAATTTAGAAAACATAGAGCAATATTTGTTTGGAAAATCTTGCCGTTGATACACTGACTGATGTTTTCAGTTTTACACTCCCCTATTCGGTTTTTTTAAACTAAACTTTTTTTAATGAATGTTTTGCCGCTAAATTACAGAGAAACAACGGTCTTGTGTGGAAAGCTCTGTTTTAGTAGATATCTGTGTTCTCTGATTTGGGAAGAAATGTTATGGTCCCAACAGCTGGCCTCTGCTTTAATCACTGTTTGTTTACAGTGCAGCATTGCTTTTGATTATATGATGTATTATGTAACTGTTTTCTTTGTTACATTAAAAGATCATAGCTAGAGTCTTCCCAGGCACTGAGAATTAAACACACTTCTAGCCATTTTCCAGACACTGAGAAATGAAACTGCTTCTAGACTCTTCCCAGGATATGAGAATTGAAACTGCTTCTGTCACTCATCTTGTCTTGCAGCATACCGCATTCATGTTAGTCACAGTACTGTCAAAATCCTAATGGAATTAAAGGAAGGCTATAAGGTCCAGCTAAGGGGAAGAACAGAACTTAAGGTAAGTACCTACCAGCTGGTGGTCTGAATGCCTCGTGCCTTTTTGTATTTGGTATTTATAAGCTGTTTTGAGACTGTTTTAATACATTCTAAATGCACGCTTGAAAGTTTTCCAAACCAGAAGTATCTTTTGTGATGGATGGTAGAAGGCAAAATGATCCATACCTGAGTTATTGTTCTCAGATTATTGAGTTTGGTGTGAAAAATGTCAAGAATGTGAAATGGCCATGTCATTGTGAATCTGGCAAAGGAGTGGTGTTTGAGCCCTTTCTGCCTAGGTACACCTAGGTGACACGGTGGTTACAAATACTGGCCTCGCTTATGTGTCTCATTATAGATAAGACACCAATTCAAAGCAGCTCCAGCAGTGCCAATAGCCCTCTCTGTTCATTTCTTCAAGATGGTCTGATTCAACAGGACAATAATGGAGAAAAAAACAGATTTGGCAGTGATGAGTGTCAGGAACAGTTCTTTCCGGGCCCTATGCGGACGACACGATCCGGAAGGTGAAGAAACAATAGGGAAAAATATCATGCAGGAGTGGGTCAGGAGACAGGGGGGGCATGTCCAAGGTGAGCAGGTGTCCAGGGGAAGTGAGTCCGGGGCAAACAATCCAAGCATAAATCCAAAAGGGAAATCCCAAATGGGAG